GAAAAAAAATCATTAATCCAATTAGCCCGAACATCTAGTTTCCTTACAATCTTTCTCTTCATTCTTAAAGTTATTTTTTTTTGTAATATCAAGTGACGGGACGAACAAGTCGTGCGCCTGTTGGTAAGCTACACGCCTGTCCATAACAGTGCCACTCCCGAGTTTTAAATCGCAAAGATCTGAGGGGCACTGTGCCCGTTACCTTGAGACATAAGTTGACAAGTCCCTTACCCTGCAAAAACTGCAACACAGTAATGCTGACATTACTGCCTGGCGGCAGAAATAGGTAAGGTGGCAGTACTACCCTGGATGAACTCTTTAACAAGGAACTCTACTGCTATTTAAACTATAACTATTATCAATTAACTCCTACGAGCATGAATTTTATACCTTCACTTTAATCGTAATTAGCACTGAGCTATATGTTTTCATTCTGACTACAATATACAAGGAAGGAGCAAGAAATAATAAGTCGCAAAACTGGTTTGACAATTGTAATGTGTGTTACATACATGCTTATTACAACAATACAAGGGTCATAATTTCTAATCCCCTCGAGAGTTCGTGTTTATATTCAACGATTTCTTACATAACATAACGCAACTTTGAAATGTATACCTGTTTTGAACGTAGAGAATTATAGATCTATCGAGGAGATAGATAGTTTGCGAAATAATTTTAGGTATTGCACACAATATTAATGAAGATAAGCTTTCGTTGGATTAAAGAAAAGCGTTAGTTAGTATTACATTGAGGTTTAGGAAAAAAATATTGAAGAAGACAAAAGTGTTTTAAATGCAATACAACAAGAGCCCTTCACGGAAGATTTAAGACGAATATGATGATGCAGGTGGTAAAATTATTTTACATCAGTCTGCAATAATAAACAACCATGTTTTCTTTTTTATTGTTTACTCTGCGGTGCACGAAAGGACCCTCCTCTCACGATGTATACCATTTCTTTCTTGTATGTCTGCAGCACCCTAGGCTACAATCGTCGATGACAAATCCTTTTACCACAATGGTAAGTATTATAGTGTATGCCATCGATATGACAAGAAGATTGTTTACTTTCCGATGATGTCATAATTTCCACGTTCAGCAAGCAGATTGTCGATATCAGGACAAATTTAAACAATACACAAGAAGACACTATTGATCTTCTGGTTTTATAGGTTTCTAGCATTTAGCGAAAGATGGTTCTATATGTAAATGGAAACTACGTAGCCGGATATTTAGGTGAAATGCGTACCTTAGTACATTATGTTTATTTGAACTGTGAAAAATGGATAGGTACCTATCATGTACGTCTCAATGTTAAGGTAATTAGTAAAATATAACAGTATTACCATTTAGATACGTTAAACAGTTTTCGAAGTCAACAACCCGCATTATGCAAGTTCTAAAGGCGTGGCTCTCTGACACCTTTGAAAGCATCTTGTTCTTGTTGCCCATTGTAATATTTTAATGAAACATTGCCTAACACTTGTCGGCTTTTAATGCGCGATTAAAGTGACCCTTTTGCTTGACCACTTGTTCGTAATGTGGGCTACGCCTACCTTTGAGTATAATTGTGTTTAGTCACATACAATGTATTGTAATGTAATGTAGGATATAATTACCTAAATGGACTATTGCAAAGATATACACCAAGAAAAATGTAGGCACTAGTACGTGTCACTGGCAAAGTTGAGTTTGGGAATTTCCCATTAAATCTTTAGCAATAATGAATATTAAATTGAATTATTTTACTTTTCATCGAAGACTTTGAAACCTTTGTCTGACAAGTAGATTTCCGAATCTTTCCGAAATTTTCCTTAGTTGTTAAGTAAGTGATGGATCAATGTTAATCTGCACATGGTTCGAATTACATTCGTAATTGTTACTTTTTGATTAAAGATTTTACTTGCCTTTTATAGCAATATATTAAATTTAAAATGAAATATAATAAGTTTCACACACTTGACATAATAAGCAATGTTGATAAATAATATTATAATATTTAAACATGTATAATTGTAAGTTCATAGATCATGATAATTAATTGTATGCCAATAACAATTAACAATGTAGAAATCTTTCACGTCAAATAAGAATACGCGTGGACCAACAACGCTACCCTGCGGCAGTCATTAAGATATCTTTGCGGGGGCGAGAAGATACAATCTGACTTCACTCAGACAGGCCTAAAATGGTCTGAGATGACGATAACAACTCACATTGGTCCATTTCTGGTCCGGCATTGACCTGGAAGGGGTTCCATTTGTGGTGCACAGTGACGAAAGCCTTGTACAAATCTGTATGATTAATTTAAATATGTTAATTGAATTGCAAGCATAGCATCCTGCTTAAATGTTTAAACGACATTTAAGCAGGATTTTTAGCTATTAGCCGGTTTACAAGTAGAATCAAGTTTTGAATTAATAGTGGATAATGACCTCGAGAGCACAAAGGAATCTGTTTTCACACTGTTTAGCGGTATTGGATTTGGTTCATGCGTCATGCGTGACTGGTTGGCAATTTGAACAATTAATAGATTGATTTTCATACAACATTCGATATTGAAAAATGCACGCTAATATGTTAAGTGTAAAGCTGCTATTGTTAATAAATTAATTAAACAAGTCGAGACTTAGCTTACTTGATTTAATCAAAATTAAGACAAATTTGGTATATCGACTAAAGTATATGGTTTATATACGTATGTGTTTTATATAACTAAAAGTTTGTCTTTCTTATAATGTGATCGACAGAGATTTGGTCCTTCACTGGCAACGATCCTGATCTAGTATGGAAATTTGTGATTGGCATGTAAATTATCTTTCAATGACATACCATCATACCTGTCTCCCACGAGATCGCAGATACTTTCTCCAAACGCATCGTTTTTCTCGAAGATATGCTCGTTTGTTCTTGGTACTTTAAACTTGGCCTTTTTTAAGCACAATCCCAACCTGATCGAGATTTGTAAATCGAGGTATACCTCAACACGGTTCCATCCACAGCTCTATAAATTAAGTTCCATCAATCGATCAACATCCATAATTTCTACATGATAAACCATGGAACCATTAGAATTACTTTTCAAAATAACTGTAATCTCGCCAAATATTATAAATCACAGAATATTTTAAAATTTTATAGCATATTTTCAAGTAACGATCTAAAATTTGCAGTTCCAAGCAATTATTCGTGAAAAGCAATAGCATATGTGTATTCTGAATACTTCAACAACCACGTGGGTTTCATAGTTGAAACACCTCAAATAAAACCTCGTAATTATAATAGCATAATAATAAAGGATGTCAAGTATTGAATACGATAATCGCTGACATTCGGCCCACAGCTCGAATTCTTCGCATTGACCTTGTGTAACTGGTTTTCGGTTTCGTATCGACACGGAATTATGTGAGAGCATTTACGTATACTGACATTTGGTAACTTTTTGACGAACGTTGAATTTTTGGTATACATTGTAACTTTTTTATTTATCTTCACATTTTAAAATAAATTTCTTCTCTGTATATTTTAACACATATATGTTAATAAACATAGCAGTATCATGAACGTATTATTTGCATTACAATGTGATGCATAATTTTCATAGTTAACTGCGTAAAATTGTCCGCAAAATCACACTTCCTAGTTAAATTCCTTAAAAACGGCAAAGCGTAACGATTTTTTCCTCATTTTTTGTCTAATAGATGTTTTTGTACAATAATACGATGCGGTATCAATCAAGGTCAGCTATTGATAAAAGAATTTTCAAGGATATGCTACTTAGAAGTTGATTAGGTGCATTCAGATTTTTGTCTCTCATACAAAACATTAAATTGAATAAAGCGTTGGCCTAAAGGTCACTCCCTGTGTGACGCCAGTGTATAGAAATGATTTTATTTTTATTGAATATCAATAGCATTTAAAAATATTGAAATAATAGAATTTACCAACCCTATATGTCTGCCCCCTTGGCCGAACGGTTACCATGCCGGACTGTCACGCAGAGGTCCCAGGTTCGATTCCCGGGCCGGGAGAAATATTTATATGGCCTACATTTATTTCTCTCGTGAGTTTGGGTATAATTTGTGGTTGTCTATGTGTGTGTTCATGGCACCCGCGACACAGAGTTTCCCTATGTCGAGTGTGTGCGTTATTATTATTATGTCCCAATGCAGGTCACGAGTTACTTTACCTGGACCTTCGTTGGCCAAATACACATGATCCACAAACATAAACAGTTGAAAAGGCTTACAAGGATTTTTTGTAGTCCTATCTCAAAAGATGATATCTTATGACGTCGAAGCTGTTGCCGTCTATATATAATGTAATTTCTAAGCGGCATTTTGCAGTATTGTTTTTTAGTTCCATATCGTGATCTACTCGGCCTTGCTCGGTTACTAATAAAGTTAATTCAATTTTAGGTTTTGTATTTGCATTTCTCGTTGACTATTTATAAATTTTATCGATAAGACATATGCATTTTTATTTTTTGACAATTTTCAGTATGTTTTTATATAAAAATATTTGGTGTTAATATTCTCAATATACTTTATTATTTATAGTAGCATATTTACGAAAGCAAAAAGTACATTGAACAGGTACAGCACTAGGTATTATAAACAAATGCATACACAGGGAAATATGAAATTAGTAATATTGTGAAATCTATACGAATGATCAAATTCTGACAGGTGCTATTGAGCACCTAAATTAGTAAGAAATTTACAATTTCCCTGGGACATGCATAACAACTACTATTGCAAGAAAAAAACGCACTACAAGTAAAATTAAAGTTCAAAATTAGTTGTTAAAATTAGTCGTCAGTTTCTTATTGTTGCGATACACCTTTGAATTTTGCAGGAAGTATCCGTTTTTAAACCCAATATACCGTATTAAATGATTCGGTTACGTGAAAATTAGTGTGTTATTCCAAACATACTGATTGTCCTTTTTTTCTCATACCAATAACGGTATTAGTTTGAGATAGGAATTCGACTCACCGAATCTTTTCACGTGAACGTCTCTATTGAATGATACTGATCTTGGTTTGATTTCTTTCGGGACTTCAGTACTAGTATTTTCGGTACCAGTAATGTCGGTACTGGGTTTTTCGGCACCGAGTTTTTCGATATCGGTATCGTTCCTCTCGTCTTTGGCTACCTTATCGCCGTCATCGGCTTTTTCTTTGATACCAATTTCATCGGACATTTGGTTGGCGGTACCAGAATTATCGGTACCACAATTTCGAAATTAGGTTACTGTCAACTCGGTGGTTTTTGTTTTGGTATCATCGGTATTTAGGTTTATCTGTAAAGAGTTTTCACTGACTTTAGCCAGTTGGAAATAACTGTGCAGAATCGACAGGTTTTCTTTGACATAAGGGTTAATGATAGGGATAATGGACAACTTTATAGAGCGAGAAATCTCAAAACTTTTAAGGGATGAGGCATAGATTACTTAACGAATGATGCCATTAAACGTAATGATGCCAAAGTAAATGCCGTCTATTGAAACAGTATAGTTGATATACAGAAAAATATTTAGTAATGCGTTATTTAATACGCATAAGCATGATATTTAAAACACAAGCATAATGTAAAGTCAAAAGAAGCACGTACCTCCTTATCTTTTGTGGAACCATCGATCTGCCTTTCCGTCTTCCGTCAATTTGAAAACACTTCCAGTGCCATCTTTGAAAGGAAACTGAAACAAAAATAATATTACCGTTAAAACACTGCATTCCTTTTAGACCTACTAACTTATTAATAAGAGTTTAAATACATTTTCCAATATAAACATCATCAATACGTCTTCTTACGGATTTCCTGTAAGAAGAGTGTTTAGCTCATAATCCGCCATACTGACCAAATACGGCTTTGAGACTTCACATCTCCATCTAAAGGACAGGAAGATTTGATAGTGGCACAAAATGGCAACTTGGCGTTGAAACTGTAACGTCACTAAGTGTTCAGCTGTTCTTGTTCCTGCCAGTACTTAGTCGAACGGAAAATCTTTTTAGTAAGTATTTTTTCTAATACGGCTTATCTTGATGTATTTTGACTGTTTTTTTAATAAATATTTATGTATAAGATAATCGTCCACAACAATTATACGGCTATGAAAATAAAGATTTCGTAAAAGCAAGCAAGTGCAAAATGTGGTCACTTGACCGGGACTCATTTGCTCTAGGGATTACAACACTTGTAAGGTAATGTCACTTGATCCAGAATATGGTTTGCGATATGGTAAATAGTTTCAATTATGTGGTAGGTTTTTTGTATAAACAAGTATATCAGGGCCACTATAATATACTAGTGCTGCTGCGAGAGAGAAAGGGAAAGAAACTCGTGTTTCTTGCATATAAGGCAACAATTTTTCCTACTTATATAGTTACCATTACAAACAAATTGCGTCTTAAAATTATCCACCCGTATCCTCATCGTTGACACTGCCCAAAATGGATATTGCTCGCTGTACATTGAATGATTAATTAGCAACCTACTATTAATACACAATGAATGGACTGGCCATGAAAGAAATGACGTAGTTTATGACGTCACTGAGGAACTGGACTCCAGCGTTATGTGGGATCAAATTGCTGAAGGTTTCGCCATCTATGTACCTACAGACGTAGTGAATAATACGCATATACTTTACACTTCGGATTTGGGACTTCCAAATGTAAGTTCGCATTGAATTGGAATCTTATGTTGAAAGGAAATGGGGCTATATGAACCTGTCTCAGACCCATTGTGCCTGTAGGTCGCCCACACATAGTACACGTCTCAACTGTAGTGCCGACTGTGTCCGATCAGCGCTCGCTAACAGCAACAGATATTGACACAAAGGTAGCTGCTTAGTTGGCAAAGAAGTTTAGATTAAAAACATTGATATTATCGAAACAATGTAATTAGAGACATCATTACAACATATTTATTCAAGAAACGGAAAAAAGGAAAACACATAAAAATAAACCTTGCTAATTTTTGCTAGCGTGTTGTCTATTCCAATATCAGCTAACATTTGTTATATAAAGACACCGACGTGTGGGAGAAGAGCAACGTGTACTAGGAAATAAGAACCGCGAGGAAGATGTTAACACATTAAGGCCGGTGGCACCTTGACGCATTTTTGGCACCCACATGCGTTTGGCAATAACGCCTACGCCTACAACACTTGCAGTGTTTATTATAGCTCCAGGCTTTGCTTACTTTGTTTCGATAACGACGATAAATGGATCACGGAATCTAATTAATGTTTATGTTATCTGTGTTTCGTATTTAAATATTTATGTTGGTAAACTTTTTGAGTTCCTTTCGTCTCCTAATATAACCAATGGGAAATAGCGCTCCTTTTCAACTGATCAGTTTCCGTGGATTGGTAACTATATTATTATGTTGAATAAACTTAGTAGTGTGACGGCTCTGATGTTGCGCTCTGGGTGCATTCTTTCAAGGAAGTTTACGTTTTTGATGGCCATTACCTACACCAACTCCATATTGCAGCAATTGTCATTGAACACGTTTTGACGGAATGTGTTCGGACCGAGAGACTCACGAGACAGTTGGGCTGTATGGCCGATATACGACAGACTGGGTGGTGTAACAGTGCTTGTACTGGCCGTTCCTTCGTCGAACGAAACTGAGATACTGTACAAAATGTTTAGATAGTCTTAATCTAGGTTAGATATATAAATTAAGTACCTAGCATTACGGAACGACATTACCATTAACTTACACGGTAGTTCCAGAAATTTAAATTCTAAAAAACTGTCCAATGTTAAAGGTCTCCATTAAAATCAGGTTTACTTGTTTAAAATTGAAAGCGAATATCTGCAAGGAACGTGTACACAAGTATTTGGAATTGGTCTGTGTAAAACGTGAACCGAACGTCATTCGTGCAAAGGTGAAAAGAATTTTATTGATCCAATTGATCGAATTACCGAATTGATGGACGTGTAATACCCTCCCTTGTTACAAGCTAGCCTAGTTGGTAGAAAAAGTGCCTTCCATGCAACTTCCAGTTCTAATTAACTTAACTTCTAGTTTGAATATAATTTAAGCAAAACCCTATCATAGTTACACCCTAAAACGCTAACTTTCTTTGCTCGAGACCCGTGTTCAGCAGGATTTGCACCACTTAATCTTGACAATTTTGTCTTTAGTTTTTTGTTTTTCTTTTTTCATGATACTAAGCGACGGCGGGACGAACAAATCGCACGCCTGTGTCAAGCAACATGCCTGTGCACAGCAGTGCCACTCAGAAGCTTTAAATGGTAAAAATCTGAAGGACACTGCCACTGTGCCATTCTGTATCATAGGTTGACAAGTCTCGTGTGCGTGTAATTTCACTAGCACCTTTACGCTTCAAAACCGAAGATACGATGGCAGAAATGGATATGGTGGCAGTCCTTTCCTGGACGAACTCTTTCTCAAGGAGCTCTGCTACTAAATGATATAGTTTTGGATTCGATTCCCACCAAAGGGTCTCGTTCCCATTGAGTACTTTCAAATCACATGATAGATAGAATACGTTTATTGACTTACCACAAGCACAGACAATAATATGAAACAACAAATAGCTAAAGAAAGAAAGAAGACAAAAAAAAACTCAAAACAAAACATACAAAATAACAAAAAGGTATGAAATCAAATAAATATACACAATAAACGACATATATCTACAATTAATTAAAAAGCAAGTTGTGAGTGCTGCAGCAAGCCAAACAGACCATAACTCAGTGCAGGTGTTGCCCAAAAGCAACGCACTGATTTTCAGCTATCGCCTAGTGGGTAAAGCGAAGTGGTCACACATGGTATCACAGCAAAAAGCAATGTGTAGGACGTGCACATGTAGTTTAGTTTACTAATTGTTCTTACCTTTAACGTTGAAAGAAAGGAGAAGTTTAATAAAACTTAGAAGGAACCCGGGTTCAGAAGTGGGACGTATAGAATGCCATGATTCTTTCAATTTTTTTTTATACAAGGTCCCACCAAGTAACCGGTGGCGAAATAAATTGATTTATTAAAGCACTTTTAATTTTAAGCCAAGCCAGACGCTTAACCATAAATTTTAGTAAAGACGTTATCAGTTAGACACTATGACAAACTTATAGTTAAAAGTTAACTAGAACAAGTTTCGTATGACATTTTAACGAAGTAAAGTTAATTTATGGAGGGCTTAAATTGGTAGAGAAAAAATAGTGTTGGCTGGAATGTCGTTAGGTGGGCTAAGAATTGTTACTCTTTTTTCATAAGTTAGCAGTAGCACTAAGCTGTGTGGTTGCCGGTTATGTCTAACATCACTACATCCTGTGAGTGGTGAATATAGAACGAGATTAAGGTTATCTCTAAACACGGATATACTGCTGGACGCATTTGAGACGAGTTTGAGATTTGAAGAAAGTTCCTATACGGTAGTATCTTTATTTAAATACAAGAAGTTATGTAACACAGCTCGTTTTTGGATTTAAGTGACGCCATCTATTAATATTAAAAATTTACTTATGTACACAACACGTAGAGTATGCAACACGTGGTGCTGTACAGGTGACGGGCAGAGATGTTTTTGTCAGATTGTAGCTTTTCCTGCAATCGCTAACCTGAATGTAAAGCATGACAATTACATCAAGATATTCCTTTCGTGATGAAGCCTACGTTTACTGCAAATGTAGTAGTGGAGGAAATTGAAACTCAAACCCAAATAATCTTTATTTCATTAAGGAAATTACATTTGAAATCGTCACATAGAGTAAACTCTACAACTCATTCGTCAGGCAGATTCCCCAAAAACGATTGAGGGGGTATCCTGAGAAGAATGAACAAGAAAATTTAGGGGTTGCTCTTTGTAAACAATTTGTATTATCATTTACAATAATTATTTCAGAAATATCAAGATATGCAAAATATAAACGGATGACTGCCATGGATTTTTGTCACGGAAGTACGCAGCAGCTGAATAACCGGTAAAGTTCATGTGATTTTTCAATTTTATTGAATGTGAGGAGGTTTGAACACCGTGATATTCAATTATTTTTGTGAAATTACTTCGCATAATTCGCGGGCTCGCCTATGACAATGATATGTGTCTTTGTCCCAAAATAAGCTTATATTCCGAAAATCTTATCAAATGTGATGATCCAAAACGGGACAATGATGGATCACCTGAGACGTCACTTAATATCCTCGAATAATCAAAGTACCCTGATCCGAGACATCAATCAACAAGTCATTAGTGATTCCTGGAAGTGGGGGACGGAAAATATAAAGCTTTAAAGTTTTGTTAAAAAAACCGTTTTGCAACCAGTTTTTTAACACATTTTAAGTAAATCTCTAATAGTGACAGGCAAGATTGGGGATATCCTTGAAAAGGTCAGATTAATAGTACCAAGAATAAATAAACGAGTTTCATGAGGTTGATGCGACTGGAGAAGTTGGAGGTTTGCGAAGCATATATGACTGCCAAGGAGAGAGGAAGCTTCTTTTTTTGCTGGAAGTCCCAGTCTGTAAGGCTCTAGAGGTGATCTGCATCATTAAGAGTCTATACTACCTTCCTCAGCTCAATCCAATTTTTTTCCATAAAGAATCGGTTCCATTGCGTGTGTCGAGCGGCATGGGCACGAAATTGAAGCCATTTGATAAATGTATACCGTATAGGTACTACACGTGATCTATTTAGTTCAGTTGCTATTTTGTATATTGAGT